GGCGGCGAGTGCTGGAGGGAGACGCTCGGCGCGGCGACTGCTTCCAGCTCCGGCACGTGTCTGTGCAGCTCCTCCCCAGCTCTCCTGCCTGCCCCAAAGCCACTTAAATGTGCAATTCACTGCTCAAGGGCATTTAGCGTGTCCCCTCCAGCTTTAAAATTGCCGCATATATACTAGCGTCCCTGCTTGCGCAGCTGGAGAAGGCGCTGCGCAAAGGGAGTTTGGTTTCGGTGCTGCTGCAGCAAAAGCTCCCGTGTCCGCTGCTCGGAGGAACCTCCCTGGTCTCCAGCGTGTTTTCCAGGGGCAATTCTCCTCCCAGAGGACTTTTATTCCCCCTAAGGACATGACTTCTGACCGGTCTCGTTCACGCCGCTTCTCTGGTTACGGCTGGGTTGGATCCAGTGCTGAATAACGCTGCGAGTTTAATTGCCTCCTTGGAAGGAGATGCCGCGTCCTGCCCCGGATGGTCCCTTTCTTTAAGCGGAAGCAGTGACTTATCCCACGTCGCTTAGCACGGACACCCGGGACGTTTGTGAACGGGAGGAGGCCGCGGTGGGAGCGGGTGGTGACTTTCCCCGCGGCTGGTACCGGATGAGCCAGGCGCGGGAGGACGTGGTTGTGCTTCCGGGGGTGCTGTGGCCCAGGGGTAGGGCGAGAGCGGGTCGTTTTGAGGGCTGCATCCCGTTTTCATGCACTGAATAGCCCGACCTAGTGCTCCTTGTGACTGTTTAAGAAGAAAAGTGTGTATGTATATATACATATAAAATTAATTTTTTGGGAACTATCACTCTGTTTCCACTTCTGTTTTAGAAGGCGAGAACCTGAGAGGCAGCGCTGGCTGGGAATAAGCTTTTCCTGGGGTGGGAAAGGTCATTTTTTTTCCCCCATCACCCGCTGCTGGCTGCACCCGCTGCCCTCTGGGCAGCCAGAAGCAGCGTGTCCCGCGATACCGCTGCGCAGAGCCCGGCAGGAGAGGAATTAGCCTTGAGTGCCAAACGGCAGGAAAGCTTAATTCCTCGTAGTGGGTAGGGGACAGCGGGAGAGGCGGCAATCAAAGGCGGTGCCAGCGCTCCATCGAGCAAAAGCATTTCATCATATCATCGTAATAAGAATAGCAATAATTCTTATCGTTTACAGCGGGCCACTGATTCCCAGGGGAAGGTGTTGCCTGTAAGCTATGTGTTAGCAAAATCATTTATTGCATTGAGAGAGTCCCAGGAAAATGCCCAGGGCCCTTTGCTACATGCGATTGCAGCTATGACGGGACTAGGTGTGCCGTCAGTCTTCTGCAACAGGCGTCTTTGATCTCTCTTGGGATCCACCTTGTTATTTCTGCTTCATGATTCCCAGCTCAGGTCCCAGCCCTGCAATTTACCTGTTTAGTTAATGTGAGCTGAGCAGCCATGAGTCTTCTGCTTCTTACTGTTTGACAAAAAGGGGTTTTTCTCTATTCCATGTAGTCTCGTTGCACTTTTGGGGTGAAACCTGCCAAATCTGGGCTCTCCGGTCTTGCTCTGGGAGGGCTGTTTTGCTTCGGAGGGAGCTCTCCTTGCAGCAGGCTGGGCCGAGCCACGCTCGGGTCTGAGCGTCGCTGCGGCCGAGGGCTGGGCAGCACCCAACGGTGTCGGGCAGCGCGTGGGAGCAACTCTGCCTTCGGCATCCAGGTTTTTCGGCTGCGAGAAGGTTCCTTGCGTCTGAAATGCCCTCACCAGTGTGAATTGGTGTTTGCACAGTATAAACCTTGTTTCTCCCAGCGTCCTGAGGCTGGTCTGCAGAGGTCCGAATAAGATGCTGAGTGTCCTCAGGTCCTGCCAGGATAAATCCCAATTCCTGTTCAGGCACCAGCTCAGCCAAGCACTGGGGGTGTCCCACCACACAGCACTTGGAGCGCATCCAGGCCATGGCTCTCCTACGTAGATGTCTGCGTAGGGGCAGACGAGTGGCCTAAGCGTGCCTGCTCCTCTGCTGAATCTGAAAGACCCTCGTTTGGCAGCTGCCCTGGTGCTGGTTTCTGAAAATGAGTAAGGGATGACTCATTGCATCTGTGTTGCTGTACATGAGCCATCTACGCTGTGTCAGCACGGATGGAGGACGTGGGTGCCAACCCTACTGCGACTCCACTGCTATGGGCATCTGGGCTTGGAGCTGCCACAGCTGGGTTTTTGGAGGTGCTAAAGCTGCATGTCTGCAGATGTAAATATGCCAAACTTCTGCTGTGGCCTCACGGAGCCCCGAGCAAGTCTCAGAAGCTCATTAAAGAAATGTAGTTTTGCATGTTACTGGAACAGCAAAACCTCTTGGGATCTGGTTTCACCTTTGGGCTACGTTTAGGATGCAAAGAAATTGCCTTTAGCTGGTTATTTGTCTTTCCATGGGAAGAGCCTATTTTCTCTTTGCAGCCTCTCCTTTAGGCCTGGCCTAGCAAGGCTCTTGCATGTGCATATAACCTTGAGAGTATGCCCGCTGTCTTTAGAGGAGAAATCCTTGGGAAGGTGCTTGCGTGCAAGACCGTTGCTGGAGAGCGATGGGAGTTGACGGCTGCCGAGCGCTTGGACCTGTCTGGTGGAGGATCCAGGTCCTTAGTGATGAAGCGGCATGGCTTTAAGCCAGGCAGTGACCTGATCCGGAGGTCTCACCCTGGTTCCTGTGTAGGAAAGGAGTCTCAGCTATGAGTTGGTCTTTAAGAGGGAGACTCATGTCTGCCATGTTTGGAAATCTCTAATCCCTGCTGCACACTACCTCCGTTTTACAGTAATGGTTGCTCTTGTAAGGAGGGAGGTGTTTCTGGAATTCGACCTCTCCTTTGAGCCTGCAGTGAGGCAGGCAGAAGAGATTAGGTAGGAGGAATGAACGTGCAGGCAATTACAGTGGGGCTGGCTTGTCCCATGGGGCTCGATTCAGCTCTCCACCCTGTGGGTTTGGGAAGCAGCTCAGCTCCGCAGCCGGTACCACCCTGGCACGCTTGTCCCGAGGCTTAGCCGTTGCGACTGCTGTGACTTTGTCCTGGTGTGGTGGGATCCTGCAGAGCCGCACGTGCTCCCGTGGGAGGGGGGCTGGCAAGGAGCCTTCGGTCTCACTGATGCTTTGCCCCGACGGCTATTTCGGAGCCGGCTCGGGTGTACTGAAGTGGGCTGCAAGAGCTGGAGCATTTGAGACACCGTGGATGGAGCAGCCCAGCAAAGCCTTGCATGCCGAACGGTCTTAGCAAGCCCTGGGTGGGAAACCACACTGTGCCGGTTGCTTTTTCCCATCCCACCCTTCACTGGTCGGACCCCGTGAAGGGGCAGAACGTGTCTTGAGCGCAGCAGGGCACTCGGCTCTTACTGAGCCCAACGATTAGGTTCTTGGGCAACTGTCTCAAATAGCAGTGAATAAGTACAGTGTGCCAGGAATGAATAGTGGAGCCACCCTGGGAACTCCCGGCAGCTACCCTGTGTTGGCTAACTGGGCTCAAACGGGTTCATTTGGTTTCTTAGCAGATCTGCTGGTTGCATAACCATGCAGCCGCCGCCGCCTCTGCGTGGCGAGAGCAGAGTTCAAGCTGCGTTCTGCACGCTTTGCTCCTCGCTCTGCCCAACTGGGATCCTGCTGGTCCCCTTGTGAGCTGGGAAACCAGGGATCCTGGAGCCCCGGCGTGGGAGAGGATTTCTTGGTGGCACCAGGGGAGTTTGCACTGCCGAGACTTGCAAATGCTCATTGCCAAAGAGGAGCACAAGCTCCCTGACTTTTTTCCCTGCTATGCAAATTCCCTTAGGCTGAAAATCTTGCAGTTCAATGAATGCGTGATGAGATTCGGGAGGGAAAAGCCCTCCCTTCTTTCCTATCTTGCCCCCTGGATTCCTCTGCAGGAGGGATTTAACTCTGTACCCAGACTCAGATTTGCATGTGTGCAGAAAAGGCTAGGAGCGAATAAGCTCGGAGCTGAAACTGGTTCCCCCAAATGTCTCCCATAAGCGTCTCCAATAAGAGATAATTATAGAGTGTGCAGCATTAAGCTGGCTTTTATTGTCATGGCTTCAGTTGCAGCTTGTGGTTTTGGGGAAGACTAATGTTTTTTTTATGGCAGGATAAATTGGGATCCTCAGTTTGATGGCATCTTCAGACACCTCTGCTAATTAAAATATAAATTAAAAGTGGTTAAGCAATTAAGCTGTTTTTTAAACAATGAGTTTGCCACTGGGTAAGTGCAGGAGCTGCAGTCAGGGTGGCTTTGGTGGTTGGAGGAAGGAAGGAAGGAAGGAAAGCTGATGGACTCAAACACCCTTGTGAAGTGCCACGGGCTGGGCATGGGGGATCAAGGCTGAAGCCCCTGGGAGAAGGTGAGGGACGGGGTTGCACCGCAGTCTTCTCCAGGAGAAGGGAACTTTTGAACATTCCTGTTTGGAAATAAAGTTTTAGGTTTGGCTTTTTTCTATCGAGGGGTGGTGGTGGGGAAATCTGAGAAACCTGAAAATCCAGCATTGGCTCTGAAAATCCTTTATTTTCCCCCAGTCAAAAATGATATTTCACGTTTCAGTTAGAAATTGGCTCCCTCCCTGCCTGTTCTGCTCGGATGGCCACTGCATTCCTTTCTTCCGCAAGTTTAAAAAAAGCTCCTGGTGAAAGCAGATCCCTGCTTTATCCATGAGAGCCGAGACGCAGCAGGGAAGAAGGAGAATTCACCTCTGCAATTGTCCCGTTCTTTGGTTTCTTTTTCAACCTCGCCCAACAGCCTCGAGAAATGAAACAGCCGCGCCTCTCCGAGGACGGTCACTTGTGCATCCCGCAGGCGAAGGCTGGAGCTGGGCTGCGGTCCTGGCTCCGCGGCTGGAGCTGTGCAGGACAGTCGGCGGGTCTGTCAGGTTGCCGCCTGTGGTGAGCGGCAGCTACTTTTAGGGCAACACTGCTGTTTTCTGCCCTGCCAGATGCCCGGTGGGCTGCGTTTGATCCATGAGGAACCCAGAAAGACCTTAGCAATGTCTGAAGAGCTTCCAGTCTAAGCATTAGCATGATGCAGGGGTTGGGAACCACAGTCAAGGGGAGAGCAGAGCTTGCCGGACTGGTAATAGCACCTCGGTCCTAATGAAGTGCAGTGAAGGGACTGAAGCTAGAGAAATGCTGAGATGCTTTGGCCTCTGCAAGCCCCTTTGTGTCCCTCCAGTCATAATACCAGTTGCTCCCTGTGCCTTTTCCCAAGCGGTTCGGAATGTCTTTTAAAATATTTTAAAGTTTACGCATTCTTAACTTTGAGATAATGCTAATTTTATTGCCAACGACCAATGCTGTTTGGGCTCCCTCCCTCGGTTGTGAAACAGTTTTGGACAAACGAAGTCAAATGTTCTCTGAGCAGGAGGTTGAACTGGGGTGCATCTGAGGGTGTGATTGGGGAAACAAGCTTTTTATTGGAATTTAGTGAAACGAGCACTTGCCACAAGGCTCGAAATGAGTGATATGGATAAAACAAGGGTCTCCCTTGAGGGTGAAATGTGTCAGGGAGTTTGTTTTGCTTTGTCATTGCTAGAAGAACCTCAAAAAGGCCTATGATGAGTTGACAGTTCTAGCAAAGGACATTTGATTCAAAGATGTGTTTCCAATACCAACAATAGCTTTGTTTGTTTAGCTCTCCAGGGAGTGTTTTGAGGCAGGTCATCACAGTGGCAAAGGAAAGAGGGGAGGGCATCATGCCAAGCACACCTAAAACAATAGAATAAAAAATGACATCTTCTCCACTCCCCTGCCTCCCAGCCAACTCCCTGAGCACATAAAAAGGAGAATTCAGGCACTGCTCTTACAGGACTTACCTTCTCTTGCCTCTGGACTTGCTTCTGGACTTAGCGCTGCTAAGCTCTCCTCTCTTAACGGGTTTACTGTCAGGGACCCATCATGTCTCGCCAGTCATGTGGTCTCAGCAAGGGATTCAGCTCCAGCTCTGCTTGCTTCGGAGGGGGGAACAAAGTCACATTCAGCTCTGTCTCCCGTGGAGGATGTAGGGGATCTTCTGGGAACGCTGGTGGCTTTACTAGCAGGAGCCTCTACAGCTTGGGAGGGAGTAAAAGTACTTCTCTGGGGGGATTTGGAGCTGGTGGTGTCTGTAGAGGTTTTGGGGCTGGTAGTCAAGGAGGCTTTGGCTATGGTGCTGGAGGAAGGTTTGGTGGTGGCTATGGTGGCGGGGCAGGAGGTGGTTTTGGCGGAGGCCTTGGCGGTGGCTTTGGTGCCTTTGGTTGTGGTGTTGGAGGGTTTGATGGGAGGGGAGGTCCTGGCTTTCCTGTTTGCCCACCGGGCGGCATCAAGGAAGTGACCATCAATCAGAGTCTGCTGGCCCCCCTTAACCTTGAAATCGACCCTGAGATCCAGAAGGTGCGAGCACAGGAGCGGGAGGAGATGAAGACCCTCAACAACAAATTTGCCTCCTTCATTGACAAGGTGAGAAGGGAGTGACATCCTCTGCAGTTTGGGGAGGTTTTGGTCTTATAGCTTGTGTTAATTGCAATTGCTGGATGACCCTCAAGTGTCAGTTGCTGCTCAGACAGCCCTAAAGAATGCCTATTGACAGATGAGGCAGGTGGTAGCTGGAGAAATGACTTTCCCAAGGTTATAGAGAAAACCAGGAATAGGATCCCTGGTTCTTAAGACCACGATGCTGACGATAAACCATGAGACTGTGCACCAACATGCAGAACGTCCTCAGAGGAGTCCCTGCTGATTGGCTCTGTCCATGGACTTAAGGCCTTCTGGGTGTTTTCTTTCAATTTGTCAGTAGTCCGAATGCATCTTGAAGGAGAGAATGCCAAAGCTATGAATTTCAGCACGTTTCTCTGATTTAGAGTCTGTAAGTATGGAGAGGGAAGTCAACTCATCTTTGCCCACTCAATCTAGAGCTATGAGAATAAATTTTCTCAGTTATCCAGAGGAACCCTGGGGCAGGTTAGGAACTCACTGGTCACTAGAGGATAGCAGAAAGGTTGAACTCTATACATGGCAGGCAGCATGGAAAAATATCAATTGGAAGATGCTCTTGGGGAATAGTTTGACTCTTTTTCTGTCCATCCCCTGCAATCATTTAGGTCCGATTCCTAGAACAGCAGAATAAAATCCTGGAGACCAAGTGGAAACTCCTGCAGGAACAAGGCCAAGGCACAGGCCCTAACAGCAGGAACCTCGACCAGTTTTTTGAAGCCTATATCAATGGGTTGAGGAAGCAGCTGGATGGCCTCTCAAATGAGAAGCACCAGCTGGAGGCAGAGCTGAAGAACTTCCAAGACCTGGTGGAGGATTTCAAGAGCAAGTATGTCGTTCTCTCGGTAGACGTGGTGGTTCAGCTGTGCTGAGCAGCTCAGGGGAATTTGTCCAAAGCTTAGGTTGTGTGGGCTTAAATTCTAGTCTGCGTCAATTTATAACACTGTCCTAGCTCTATCTGATTTCTTATTAAGCCTGATTAATCTCATCAGTTGTATAAAATTGGATACGGAGCTGGTCAAAGCTTGACATTTTTATTGACACTGCCGTTTCCTTGCAAGGGAATTTCCTTGAATTTTCTGAAGGAAAGGGGTGAAAAAAGAAGCTAAATTTACTTTGAACAGTCAGAAAATTCAAGGACTCGTAAGAATTCTCAATGTTTCACTTATTTAGAGGATTAGAAAATATAAAAGACAAGTTCTGGTGCAGTTTGTGAATTTTGACAGTAGGCGGGGATTATTTCAAGATTTTTTTCTCAATCTGTATTAGCTGTAGTCTGAGTTATGCTTGTCACTAAAGCAGGATTATCTACTCTTCATCTTTCACACTTAACTAGTTCATTAAATCATAATATAGGTAACTTATAGTAGGATTTAGCAACTGATCTAACTTCCTCATGGATCATTTCAAGATTAGAGCTTTCTTTTGAAAGCAGAAATGAAAGAAAGGAGATTCTTTTCCCGGTATTAGACTAATTTTTTCAGCCAGAAAAGCCTAGAGAAATCTTTCCACTGAAAGAGATATGAAAAGTAATTTGACAGACAAAACTGCAGGCAGTAGGTCCAGGATTCATCAAGATGGGCCATGTCTCTTGCTTTACTGAGGCTGCAGGTGGAAAACTGGCTTTGACCTGGAGACCATCTCCACCACTCCATGCTCTGCAGCAACTACCTGCCCAACTGAGCAGTCTGAAATATTCAGGATGGCCTGTGTTGGGGGCCTGAGGGTCCCTAGGGCCAGTGAAAGTAGCTGGAGTGGGCAGAGCCATCAGGACTAGGTTTAAGGTGCTTGATGATTCCTGTTTGCAGACTGTCTTTAAAAAAGTATTTGAGATGGCAGGAGCCAGTGGCTCATCTGGAAAGGTGAAGTGCTGATGCTTGTCCATAAATCTTGCTCACAGCAGGTCTATTTTTGCCACATTCATTAGTCTGAGGCCACTGGTGTCTAGTTGCCAGCAGCGGCTGCAAGAGCCAAAATAAGCAGACAGATTCAATCTCCCTCATTATCATCAACAGGTATGAAGAGGAAATAAACAGAAGGACAGCTGCAGAGAACGATTTTGTGCTCCTAAAAAAGGTAAAGTGCTCAGCTGGATAAACATAAATGAGGAACACAAAGCACTTGGGAACATGAGGGCAGATTTTAATTAAAACGTGTTCCTAATTAGAACAAGAAGAGCATGAAGAAAGAGCTGATGTCAGGATGACTTTATAATGGAGCAGAGGATGAGCAAAATGCTAGGTGCTAGTGTTCCTGCTACCTAGAGCGAAATAACCAAATGTGTGTGTAAATTACGTCTTTATCTGCACATTCAAAACACTGCTGTTTTTCTCCTACGCAAAGACCCACCTTTCTTCAGAGAATGCCTTACTTCATCACTGACTTTTATTTATGTTGAAATCACTTGTAAGTCCCAGGCGTCAACCAGGACCCCTGGAAGTAGGCTCCATACAGAAACAGATTGGCACCAGCACCAAAGGGTTCACAATTCAGTATTAGGCAACCACAATGTGTCAGGTGGAAAGATTCACTTCCAATTTCTGCTGCAGGATGTGGATGGAGTCTATATGAACAAGGTAGAACTTCAGGCAAATCTGGATGCTCTGGCGGATGAGATTAACTTCTTGAAATGTCTTTATGAAGCGGTAAGTGGTCCAGCTGTTCTCTTGACCACAGAATGCTCCTCTAAATGAGTTCTCTCCATGCTTTGCACCATGACTGCTCCTATTTCTTGCCTTTTTTTGCATGCTTGCACAATTTTTTTTGCGTGCCTTTCTGCCTTCTTCCGCTAGACTAGGCAGCGGTCTAATATTGGTGAGCCTGCCACTGTGTTTATACTGGTGGACAATGAGAAAAAGGCTGCTTCTAGGTGTCTCAGGTTTGCAACCAGCATTGCCAGGCACTTGAAAACTTTTAGGTGCCTGGAGGGGGTGGGGATCCCAGAAAGGAGAAGAGTTAAAGAAGAATGGAGTGTGACACTCTTAAGTATGTAAAGCCACTGCTGGTGTGAATTGCAGGAATTGTCCCAGATGCAGCAACAAGTATCTGACACATCTGTGGTTCTGTCCATGGACAATAATCGAACCCTGGACCTCAACAGCATCATTGCAGAGGTCAAAGCACAGTATGAGGAGATTGCTAACAAGAGTCGGTTGGAGGCTGAGTCTTGGTACCAATGCAAGGTAAGTGTTCTACACGTTGCTCATGATCATGGATGGCTGAGGTGGTGGAAGAGCTACAACTGGTTTCAGTAGACTTGGAGAATAAAGACGGGAGTATTTAACACCGATTTGGGGAGCTTGGAGGAGAGATGGGCCTTTTTAAGTTTCCTTGTATAAACCACAAGGAGGAAGAGTGGAGTGCATCTTCATGCCATATCTTTGCTAACTTAGATCTTGTGGGTGTGTACTGAGTGGGAATCCCAGGCTGCAACGGGCAACAAGGAGTTGGTTCTAAACTAAAGCCCGTGCCTAGGATTTAGCTGGGCTTATGCAGTCTATGCTAGGAGCTGGAATACTGCTGATACTGATGCTAGACTTGAGCTAGTCTGTGCGTGTTTACTCTGGCTGGTGTGTGATGGTGGGGAGAGTTGTTGTGGGGAACAATTTGTGCTGGACATGAAGCGCTCCTCTTGTTTCTGCCTCTCAGTATGAAGAGCTGCAGGCTACAGCAGGAAAACACGGAGACAGTCTTAAGGACACAAAGATTGAGATCTCTGAGCTCAACCGCATGATCCAGAGGATACGGGCTGAGATTGAGAACGTGAAGAAACAGGTAGGGGTTGCATTTTCTGAGAAACGGATGTGAACTGGTAAATCTCTTCAGGGCTTCCCTATAAGCAAATGTTTCAGTAACAGTTAGTGTAAACAGGAAGGAACTCATTGTATCTGGAAACAGCTGACCTCAAATGATCTAGGCATAAAACAACGAAGGGCGTTATATGTTTGGGCATCACAGCTTCTGAACATCCATGACTGGCTGTCCCTGACCCACTCATCAGATTCATGTCTTGCCCTCCAGTGTGAAGCTCTGCAGACATCTGTTGCGGATGCTGAAGAGCGCGGAGAGGTGGCCCTCAAGGATGCCAGGGCAAAACTGACTGAGCTGGAGACAGCCCTGCAGAAAGCTAAGGCAGATCTGGCCCGCCAGCTCCGGGAATACCAAGAGCTCATGAACGTCAAGCTGGCCCTGGATGTTGAGATTGCTACCTACAGGAAGCTGCTGGAGGGAGAGGAGTGCAGGTCAGTGGGATTACAAGTTTGCATCCTGCTAAATCAATGGGAAGGACTCAGCGCATGTCCTCTGTTCTTAAAATAACATTAATGGCATAGTCATTATCTATGGCCTAAGGCCCTGTAGCTGCTGTTTATGCCCAAGGTCTGATACAGCAAGCTTGGCTGTATGCAGAGTTGTACCAGTGCAGATGCTCTGGCTGGAGCA